GTATTTGTAAGACGTGTGCACAACCACCCTCCTTATCATTTCTCAAGCTTAAAGGAGTGCGGTACTCGACTCTCGAGCCACCAACCGAGCATCGCAATGCACGATGGCCGAGAAGCCAAGTTTGTACAAGTCAATGAATGCATAAATAACACATAAGAGCCTCCACCTCTATCATGCATGATCAAGAGGGTCGGCAACCAAGAAATGCTACACGTTTCATCACTTTGAGTATGAAACGTGTTAAAATTGATGTGTGTATTATTGATTTATGTGTTGATATTGATTACAAATGGTGAGTGGCTCATTATATAGGAGAGGGTGAGTGTAGTAGGTGAGGAGTAGGTGAGGAGTAGGTGGTGGTAGGTGATGGTAAATTGGTGGTAGGTGATGGTAAATTCTAACAGCCCCCCGCAAACTCAAGGAGGATAGAAACTAACCAACTTGAGTTTGAAGAGAGGAACAAAACAAGAAAATACATAAAAATAAAATACTCATGCATTGGCTCACAAATTAGGCATAAGGGCACAACTCTTAAACACAATGAAAGAGTGATAAACATGAGAGTATGATAGAAGTTTATGCTCTGAAATTACATATCAAATGAAGCCATATCATGCACACATCACAAATATAGCATGCTAGGGGACCCAAAGTGCAAGGCTAGTAAAGCCAAATACACTATAGCTATGCTAAGCCAAGCATGCATCACCAAAACCACTCAAATCAGACCTAAAGCATGCTAAAGCATAGCCAAAAATGTGCTAGAGTAGAGTATACACATGGTAGATCAATAGGCTAAAACACCAAATGAACTAGGCTAGTGAACAAAATTGCACTACAAGTGCAAGGAGCATGCAATAGGCAATCAAATCAACCGAAAACAAAGTTATGACATGGAAAATAATGGCTAAAAACATGCTGAAATGGAGCCAATACATGCTAGAAAGACATGCTACTTTGCAAGGCCACAAGTAGGATTACACTACAAGTGCAATAAGCATGCAAGAGGTGACCAAAACAGCCAAAAACAGAGTTATGGCAGGTCTGAAAAGTCACAAAAATGAGCCTAAACAAAGCCACAAAGAAGTAAAAACACATGTTCATTTGGTTGGCCATCAACACATACAAACAAGAGGAGGAGGGGGGACTACCCCCACCTATTTGGGACCTCAAAACATGGTTTTTGTCACTGAAAAACCTCTGAGTTTTAGTGGTAAAAAGGCCCAAAAAGTTGGATTTGAAGGTGGTGAGAAGTTGCACAAAAGGCCTCGCAAGCCAAGGAACACAAAGAGAGAACAACCCCCTAGCCAAACAAGGCACAAACCAACACTTTTAGGACTGAAAAACAGAGGTTTTTGTAGTTCAACACCACCCAAAAAACAGCCCCAAAGTAGTTGAAAACTATGACAAAACAATAGTGCACAAAGAGCTTAAAAGGGATAAGGGGTTACCTTTGAAGCATAGCAGCAAATCAGCCTCTTTTATGAGCCAAACAACCTTCCAACAGCCCAAAAATAGGTTCCAAGGGACCCCAGCCCAATAGTGATCAACTTTGGTTAAGGGTCTCTTTGCAAAAGTGTAGAAAATTCTAAGCTCAAGGCTCAAAAACAAGAGGAGAATGAGAGAATTCTAGAGAGAGAGAGTTTGCTCACAAATCTTCTAGAGAGAGGATTCTAGAGTGAGAAGCTCCCCAAATTTTCTAAGCCTTCAAAATGTTCTAACCCCCAAAACATATGAGATATAGCTCAATATGTAGCAATATATGAGCATTGGGTCGGAAATATCTCAATTCAGAAATATCTGAGACAGTCTGGAACAGCTGGAGCAAAATATCTATCAATTCTGGGCTTTCTGGGAAAAAGTGGTCGACCGACCACCTCCACTGGTCGACCGACCACTTTTTCTGGTCGACAAGGATCATTTTTGGTCGGCATGCTCCATTTGTGGTCGGCACACTCCCTTAGTGGTCTGTAGCAAAAATCAGTCCTGGTCCCCGTCTTGAAGCAAGCCTAACTCCTTCATCTGGATGCCTTTTCAGGCCATTCTTGTGTGCAAATTCAAGCCTTGGAAGTAAGCTTTCCAATGGTGGCAACCTCACATCAAAATTCCAATTGTGCTAAGAGATATCACTCTTTTAGTGAAGACTGCTCAGTTTCGGTCCAACCGGATTGATGCCCAACTTCCAACAACCATATCTCCCTCATCCGGACTCGGCTTTAGGAGATTCTTGAGTGAAAAATGAAGCCCCAGAAGTCTTCTTTCCAACGGTGGTGGCCTCAAAGCTTAAATCCAAGTGTATAGACGGATAGGCCCGATTTAGCGAGGGCTGCTTGACTCTCTCTCAACGATTCATGCCCATCTTTTCCCCCAACTTGGTTTCTTCCCTCTCCTCTTCTTTTCTTAAACTCCAAACCCCTAAACAAGATGTTTTAAAGATTTTTCAAAGAGTTCACCTCCCTTTCATTCATTTCCACTTTGTCCTTGCTCAGTTTACCGAAAAACGCGACATTTAACGAAATGTGAGCCTCGGAGCATCGCAGAAACCTTTTTCAAAATATTTTGAAAGAGAGGATTTTAAGATCTAAAATCTTTTTGGTCCAACAATGGGGTGTGAGGTTTGGATTTGGAGTTCTCCTTGCCGAAGAAATCGAACCTTTGCATAGCATAGCCTGCATCACTAAGTAAGCAATTAGAGGCGCCCAAATCTTAAGGGCGGTCAAAAATGGAGTGTCTACACATTGCCATTGAAAAACCATTTAATCTTGGAGCCTTATCTCTCTCACAATCAAACACAGCCTGTCGCACCTCACACTCAGCAAAGGATCTCTCAAGCCATTTCTCCTTGTAGATTTTACAGTTGAGCTCAATTTCTTCGTTAAGCTTTTTTTATTCTTTTGTATATGTTTGCACCCTTAGGGTGTTTTTAATATAGTAATACGAACTTATTTCTCAAAAACATATATATTTTACGTATATAGTAAACTCAGCTACTTATACATATATATTTGTTGGGTGCATGTCCAACTATCATATCAAACACATATCACAAGCCCTTACCCAAGCGTCAAGCATCCGACACAGGTACTCCACAAATTTAGGGAAGTCCATGTAACATAACATAGGTTTCCTCATAGCTACTACAAATCTTCCTGCCAACTATGTTATTAAAACTTTTTCCCATATTATGCATGTTAACTTGGCACCACAGCCTACATTAATAACTCCATGCATTAGCAACACATCTCTTCCATCATAGTTCAAGCCAAAGCTCCTTAGTCCTTACACATCCCAATTCTTAATTCTCAAACCAATCTTCACTAACAAGCTTCAAGCTACCATTTGTTGGCCAAATCTTCTCAAGTTCATTTCCAAAATGGCTGTCTCCAATAATATCTCTATGTACGGAAATGAAGATATTTCTTCCAGCTAAATATCGACTCTTTGAGGCCTTGGAACCAAATTCAGCATGGTGTTATTGATGTGGTCAATCTTTTTTTCCCCCTTTTGATAGGAAACGAAAGATTGATGTGATCACTCTTCACTCACTAAAGTAATATTAGTAAATGTAAAGGCCTAAGACAAAGAAAGCTGCAGATAAAGTTTGCATGGTTATATGTCATTTGGGTTGATATCGTAATTATGAGTAAAAACACAACCCAGTGCACAATGCTCCCTGCACAGCGTCATGGAAGCAATTTTTCAATTTAAAATTTTTATTTCTAGAGTATTGGTTAGTCATGAAATAATCCTTAGTAAGTAGGTTAATTTACTTTGAAGCGCTTCCAAATGAAATAAACATTCATAACCTCAAAAAACTCCATGGTTTGGCATGAAATCTTTGTTGCATAATGTATCTTCCTTTGCTTTTAGCTTTGACGTCTTTCAAAATGGTATAAGGAGCTCAATGATATCTATCAGTGACGAACAGGCACCATAACCTTGCCTTTCATCTAAAAAGATACTTGTTTCAGCTCATAATGACCTTGAAACTTAGATTCTAAGTTGCTGAGCCATAAACAAATTCAAAACTGCTATGGGTTCTGAACTCATCAAAATCTTCTTGAAAACAATATGCAAAGTCAACTCTTAGTCAAGTTTGCTTGAAGAGAGCACACTTGCATTCTAGCATAAAATTGCGGTGACTCACTAAAATCAATATTATAATGTCTTCACACCAAAATTATAGGGTACGATTGCAGCGAATTGATAAAATCAATAATATAATGCCTTCACCAAGAATTATGCATTCTCAAGTGCACACTCGCAGCATAAATGGTTTTTAGTGTGCCATATTACATAAGGCAAACAATTAAGAGTGCTTCTGTTCTCGTTGGGAGATCTTACAAATAAGGACGATAGTTCTGAAAATAACTAACATCGTTATATTATTTTCAAAACTGCCAATTTGAATTCTGCTTGAATGCAATGTCAATGAAAGGAGCATTTTCCTCTCCGACAACTAAATTCTAAGTAATACCTACATATTGAATAATAAACAAAATGTAAACGGAGATGCTTAAATAGCAATTACAAAAACATAGTATTTTACTTATTTTGTAAAATAAGTAGTTTATTATTTGTAAAACATAATATTCTTTTTTTTTTTTAACTCTTTCTTGTCCCTGTGAGAAGGATAATTAGGTATAATGTTCAAGAATTACAACACATTTTCTTCTGCAGCTTCCATTTCCAAAATATAACAAAAACAAAAATAATAATATTTTTTTAATGTGTCCATATTTGGGTTGTTTTCAGCTTTGAAGGACTTGGTCTCAAAAAAAAACATAATAATAATAAGTTTAGATACTTTCCCGAAACCTGCTGTTTTCCAGAAAGTTTCTTTCTTCAAATCCTTTTAATTTTTTCATATGAAAACAAGAAAAAAATATCAAAACCAATACTAAAATGACTCGTGAATCTGTAATCTGTGTCTCACTATTTCTCCTCTTTCTCTGATGATAGGTAGAAGAATAGTAACTACTAGCAAGAACAACACTCACATCGGGCTGCCATTGGCTTCTCTTTGGGAGGTTCCTTACTGACAGGATTTAGCACATGCCTCACTTGCTTGCCCTTCGGCAAAGGTTTTGCAAGAGATACCTTCACATTTACCTAAAATTAATAAATACACAGATCAGTTATAGAAAGAACCAAAGCAAATAACTTCACAACGGTTTCATACAGATAGTGTAGAACCTTGGAACCCTCAACATTCAGTGACTCACGATTGAATGCCTCAATACATGCAAGAGCAGCTTCACGGGTTGTATAATTAACAAATGCAAAGTCTTTTCTTCTAGATGAATGAAGATTTCTGGAAAGCGTAACATTTTCAATCTCACCAAACTTTTTGAAATAGTCTCTCACTTTCTCTTCATCCCATGAGGAGGGCAGATATTCAGCATAAACTGATTTCACCTACAATGAAGCAAGGCACTGAACCATAAATTTCTAATACAACTAATTTTTATCAACAACAACAACAACAAAAAATAAAAATAAAAATAAAAAGAAGAAGAAGAAGAAGAAGAAGAAGAAGAAGAAGAAGAAGGAACCATATGATCAAAAGTACAGAATTACAAACAAATATCTACTCAAATTTTAAACAAATTAACAAAAGCAATTACATCCTAAAAACAAATACCAACTGAAATCAAAAATTAATCATGCCATGAAAGTTTGAGCATCATCAATATAGATATAAACTCTACGTGGACAGACCTTAAGCATTTCTTCTTCATCTGGCTCACTCAAGGGTTCAGCCCAAGCAACTTTTATCTTTTGCAGCTTTCCAAAGACGTTCTTCTGAAGTTTCCTGTAAGCATTTTTAGCATCTCTTCTAGTTTCAAGTTCAAGAAACGCAAAGCCACGATTACACTCAATGTTACTAGGATCGGCCATAACTGTAACTTGATCTATTTTCTCAATCCCAAACTCCTGCAACAGCTTAACAATCTGTCCAGACATAATACCTTTGTTCAGATGCACTATTCAAGCCTATAGAGTCAATGAGTAAGAACAGCACGCAATGCAAAACCTTACATCTTCACTCTTCCACTTCTTGTTAATATTACCAAGAAAAATTGTGTCATTGCCCTCAACAGGTGTAGCGCTACATTGCTTTCCACAAATCTAAAGTTGAATTTCAAGAAGAAGAAGAATTAGGCAGGAATTGACTAGTAATTGCCAGTATTCCACCTTTCCCAATAAGTACATAGCTAGAGTTGTGCAGTCCAAGCAAACATTAAATGGAGCATTTATCCAACTTCAGTGATATTGAATATTAACAATATTGACAACAACAATGCTAATGATGAGGAATTAGGATAACAATAGCACAATACTAAAAATATAATGATAATAACAATATGATGGCCAACAAGAATGTCAATGATGATGATAAAGATAATAATTCCAATAAAAACAAATAAAATAATGGCATATGAATACCGCATTACATGTTTAGGACTGTGAAGCGAAGTCTCACATCGCTTGGCTACTCAAGTAATATGCAGTATAGAAGCGCGAGGGCACCCTCACCTCAAGAGCTATCTTTTGGGGTTGAGTTCCACCCAAGACCGTGTAACATGATATCAAAAGTACTGAGGATGGATAGGGTGTGTGTCCCTGGCTTGCACACCGCACGTGTTGCCGAGTGATCGCGTGGCTACTAAAGTAACATACAATATAAAAGCATGAGGGCACCCTCACCTCAATAGCTAACTTTTGAGGTTTGAGTTCTACCCAAGACTGTATAACATGGTATTAGAGCCGAAGTACCAAGAATGGGTAGGGTAAGTGTCCCTCGCCTGCACGCTGGGCGTAAGGGAGGGTGTGAAGCGAAGTCCCACATCGCTTGGCTACTAAAGTAATATGCAGTATAAAAGAGTGAGAGGAAGTGCTAGCTTTTGTGGGGGAGTTTTATTTTATTTTTTTTATTTTTTTTTTGGGGGTTACCCAAGACCGTGTAACAAGGACATGATAGAAAAGTAGACTTGTTACATTAACATATAGAACCAACACTGTTTTTTCATTACAATATAAGATTGCATCCATAATCCTCTAGCACAAAAGAAAAACACTATCTCATAAACAAAATATCAAAATGGCTACTAAAAGTAACACTTGTTATTTTTAAGAGAATACCAGATTAGGGAATGATTAGAATATCATCCCCTATATATATTAATGAAGATTAATAATTACAAGGGAGCCCTAAGGCATAAAATAATTACTGAAATAACCCAAATAATAATATATTATTCTAACACTCCCCCTCAAACTAATGCAAAGATATCTCTCATGCCCAGCTTGCCTAAGATGTCATGAAATGGCTTACTCCCAACTCCCTTGGTGAGTATGTCAGCAAGTTGTTCACCAGACCACACAAAGGGAGTACATATTGTGCCACTAGTGAGTTTCTCCTTAATGAAGTGGCGATCAATCTCAACATGCTTTATCCTGTCATGTTGAACCTGATTGTGAGCGATGTTAATAGCAACCTTATTATCACAGTATAACCGCATGGAGTCCGTCTGATCAATACCTAGACCACTCAACAATAACTTGATCCATAAGAGCTCACACACCCCTTGTGTCATAGCTCTAAACATAGTTTCTGCACTTGACCTCGCAACCACAATCTGTTTCTTACTCCTCCAATTAACCAGGTTGCCTCCAACAAATGTGCAATATCCTGAAGTCGATCTCCTATCAGTCACTAATCCAGCCCAGTCAGCATCTGTATAGGCTTCCACACGAAAATGATCATACTTCGAAAAATAAAGACCCTTACCAGGAGCAGACTTCAAGTACTTCAAAATTCTCATGACAGCCTCGAAGTGAATCTGATGAGAAGCATGCATAAACTGGCTAACCACACTGACAGCAACAGCAATATCAGGATGGAAGTGAAATAGGTAAATAAACTTACCCACTAATCGCTGATAGCTCCCCTTATCAACAGTTGCTCCTCCTCCTTCATCATCCCCCAGTTTCTGATTGAGTTCCAATGGAGTGTCACAGGCCTTGCAGCCAAGCATTCCAATTTCCTTCAACAAATCAAGCACATACTTCCTCGGTGAGATAAATATCCCATCCTTGGATCGAGCAAGTTCAATTCCCAGAAAATACTTCAAGCTCCCTAACTTTTTGATTTCAAACTCACTGGCTAAATATTTCTTCAACAGAGGAATTTCCTCACTATCATCGCTCATAAGAACTATGTCATCTACATAAACAATGAGTGTTGTAGTCTTACCACATGAGGAATGTTTCACAACAAGGTGTAATCTGTCTGACTCTGTTTGAAGCCATATTTAAGCATAGCCTGAGTGAATCTCTCAAACCAAGCCCTTGGAGACTGTTTGAGACCATAAAATGACTTCCGAAGCATGCATACTTTGCCTTCTGTCTGATGATCCTCAAAACCAAGAGGAATATCCATTTTTACCTCTTCTTCAAGGTCACTATGGAGAAAGGCATTCTTTACATCAAACTGATGAAGTGGTCAATCTAGAATAGCTGCTAGAGAGAGAAGTACTCTAATTGAATTCATCTTAGCCACAGGTGCAAAGGTCTCTTGATAGTCAACGCCATATGTCTGAGTGAACCCTTTTGCCACAAGTCTAGTCTTGTAACGCTCAATAGAACCATCTGCTTTGTGTTTCACAGTATACACCCATTTGCATCCCACATGTCGTTTGCCTTTAGGTAACTCAATCAATTCCCAAGTGTCATTCTCCCTAAGTGCTTTCATTTCCTCAATCATAGCAAGTTTCCACTCAGAGGTAGCAAGAGCATCCTAAAAATGGTTAGGAATGCTAACAGAGGAAGTATTTGACACAAACGCACTATATGAGAACGACAAATGAGAGTAGGACACAAAATTTGAGACAAGATGTTAAGTACAAGATCTCACACCCTTTCTCTTGGCAATAGGAACATCAAGATCAATGGACTCAAGAGATTCAAAGTTACCTGGACTCTCATCAGAAGTAAGAGATGGCAGTGGAGGAGCATAAGTGGTCTCTTGTATCCAATTAACTTTCTGTCTGTCTCTGTCCCTAACATAAGCTTGCCCTTTCCTATCCTTGGTGCCATTGGGTTCTGCAGTCCCAGTAGGAGGTGGTGGTGCAAGAACTGGTTCCACCATAGGAATCATAGAAATTACTAGTTCCACCATAAGAATCACAAGAATCACTTCACACCAAGGCTCCCCCTGAAGGGAGGACTGTGACATCAGAGAGGACAAGAAATAGGACTAGAACTCAAAGAATGTGACATCTATGGACACAAACCACTTACGAAAAGAAGGGTGGTAACACTTATGCCCTTTTTGAGTAAGAGAGTACCCAAGGAATACACATTTGAGAAAGCGAGGGTCCAACTTACCACGAGCAGGAGAGTGATTATGGACAAAACAGACACAGCCAAATATTTTAGGAGGAACAAAAAATAAGGACTGGGAACCTAGGAGGACTTGAAGAGGAGCTTGTTTATTCAAGACTTGGGTAGGAAGACGATTAATAAGATGGGCAGCGGCGAGAACAGCATCGCCCCAGTAGGACCAAGGCACACGCATAGAAAAACACATGCACCGAGCCATGTCAAGAAGATGGCAATTCTTGCGTTCCGCCATCCCATTTTGTTGAGGGGTATTGGTGCAAGAGGTCTGATGGATAATGCCATAGGTAGAAAAATATTGCCCTAATCCAAAATCTATGTATTCACCCCCATTATCAGAATGGAATATTTTGACAGTGGCCCTAAATTGAGTACAAATCATCTTATGAAAATTGCGGAACACAGAGAAAATCTCACTCTTGTCTTTCATGAGATACATCCAAGTAGTACGAGAAAAATCATCAATAAATGTAACAAACCAACGATGACCTTTCACAGACACAACACGAGATGGACCCCAAACATCAGAATGTATTAATGAGAATTAAACTAAACTTTCATTAAAACTAGGAGCAAAAGAAGCTCTGTGTTGTTTGCTAAGTTGACAAGACTCACAAAGAAATTCAAACACATTATTGTTTGAAAAAACTGTTAGAATTTACCATCACCTACCACCACTACCACCTCACCTACTCCACTAAACCTAACCCACTACACCACTACCACCTCACCTACTCCACTAAACCTAACCCACTACACCACTATCACCATCCACTACACACCATCCACTACACCTACATCTATATAAGGAACCATTTGTAATAGACAACAATAATACATCAATCAATAATACTTCATTTTTTACATGGTATCAGAGCAACAAAAAACACAGCAGCCCTAAAACCGTCATAGCCATGTCGGAAGTCACGTCCGGAACCACTTCAACCCCTGCCGCTGCCATTCCGGTGAAAACGTCCAACTCTCACTCTGTCCAAATCACCACCATCCGCCTAAATGGTGATAATTTTCTCCGCTGGTCACAATCTGTCCAGATGTATATCCGTGGGCAAGGAAAGATCGGTTACATCACTGGTGACAAGAAGGCTCCTGCTGTTAATGATCCGCTGTTCGACAGTTGGGACGCTGAAAACTCCATGGTTATGACATGGTTGGTCAATTCCATGGAGGAGGATATAAGCTCTAATTACATGTGCTATACTACTGCACAAGAATTGTGGGATAATGTTAGTCAGATGTCGGGACAGTTTACAGAGTCTTGTCGGACCCTTGTAGAAACTAACCGAAATCTATGTCGGGACAGTTTACAGAGTCTTGTCGGACCCTTGTAGAAACTAACCGAAATCTATGTCGGGACAGTTTACAGAGTCTTGTCGGACCCTTGTAGAAACTAACCGAAATCTATGTCGGGACAGTTTACAGAGTCTTGTCGGACCCTTGTAGATATATGGAAATAAATGCTTAAGTAAATAAAAAGAAGCATGCCCAAGACGCCGATGCCACAGCCATATATCATCGGTGGTAGCAAGACTCCTGGTGGAAGAATGAGCAAGCTTGTCCGGTTGATCCAGAAAGTAGAGACCATTTTCTGCACTACCACTGCCAATCGTCCTCCTCGTGACAAGATCCTGAAAAAGACAGTGATCAGGAAAAAATGTCACACTACAATTCAAATCCTTTGTAATATGACTCAAGGATAGCAGGTTAAC